ACCGCGCCATCACGGACCCAAGTCGATCGGGCTGACGCCGTGAATTTGGCATCAGTCGTGTTTCAGGACATTTCGGGTGACATTTTAACAAGGGCTAAATATCAGCGGGGGGGGGGGGGGGGGGGGGGGGGATTAGCTGTGATCCATCTGCAACAAGGAAAGACACCAAATATTAACTGGAGCTTTAAGAAGCTTACAGCAGCTCCCACTGAGTGAAATGGCTCAGTCTGAGTGTGACCTGAATTTCAGGTGAACGGTACAGGTGTCAAGGCGTGGCTCACAAACAGATGTGGCCCCGCCCCACCCCCATGCGGCTCCATCAAAAACCTTCCCTCCAGCGGTCCATCATGGACGACCACAGATCCAGTCTTCTAGCTAGTGAACAGCGGATCAATACTCCATTTATCACCGGTGGATATGGAAGCAAGTTTGAGGCCCACTGAACCTGCAGAGCTTCTGTCACGGCCAAAAAGACAGAATAACTCTCCCTCTCGTTCACCCAGCTGAGCTTCTGATGGTGTTTCACACCCGATCCCATGTTTAAATGGACAGCGGTGTCTTTCCTGACGGTCGCACCTCCACTACAAGTATCAGCATCACCCAGGGAGAAACTCAGACATCTCTCTGCACTCAGAAAGGTGTCATGGACGACACTGGCTTTAAATATCTCCCTGCACTAAGAAAGATATCTCTTAGACGACACTGGTATTAAACATCTCACTCCAATCAGAAAGGCGTCTCGTAGACTACGCTGGCATTAAACATCTCCCTGCAATGAGAACGGCATCTCATAGACGACGCTGGCATTAAACATCTCCCTGCAATGAGAACGGCATCTCATAGACGACGCTGGCATTAAACATCTCCCTGCACTCAGAAAGGTGTCTCTTAGACGATGCTGGTATTAAACATCTCCCTCCAATCAGAAAGGCGTCTCGTAGACGACACTGGCATTAAACATCTCCCTCCAATCAGAAAGGCGTCTCGTAGACGACACTGGCATTAAACATCTCCCTGCAATCAGAAAGACGTATCGTAGACGACACTGCCATTAAACATCTCCCTGTATATATACTGTATATACTGTACATGGCAAAAACTGTCCCCCCAAAGCAATGAAACCATCAGTGACACAAAAGGCAGTTTCAGGGAACCTGTGTAGCAACATCATGCTTTTAAATTGTTAAATATCTGCTTAATTTATACAAATAAACCAGTTTAACATTCTATAATGTGGGAGACCAGCCACAGGATGTCTTGAGCAAAAGCTTCAGGTTTACAGTTCATGCTACACTCTACAGTGCGTCACGATCCGTCAAGCCAGCGTCTGTGCTGCGTCTGTGGCTATAAAAAGACGCACCCAACCCTGGTAACCTACACGCCGTAGAGTAAAAACGCCTCGGTGTGTGGAAAAGGGTTTCATCATACAGGCCGGCCGAGTTGTGAAATGCTCCTTCAGGCTAAACCCTCCATCCTCTTCTTTATTTATGACGTAACTGCGACTCTCGGCGGTGCAGTACTGAGCCTGTGGAGAGTCATTCAGCTTCATCGACACACACACACACACACATGCACATGTACGCATACACACACTCATACACACACATACGCAGACAGACAAACACACACGCATGCACACGTAGACAGACACATACACATGAACGCACATATGCGCGCACACACAGAAAATGTCATGGCGCGTGGCTGGGCTCAGGTGCCTGTCTGTCGGTCATGACGCGTTTGCAGCTCTTTGGCGCCACAGTTAAGGCTCTGGGCCCTGCTGTCCATACACACGTAACCTGCAGGCACCCAACTTGTATCTGGATACACAGGCGTGACAAAGCAGGCGAAGGAGCAGCCTTACGTCTGCTAAACAGCGCGAGGAGCGGACAGGGAGCTAAACTGCCGCTCTCAGCCTTACTGCCCCTCCGGCATGGACAAGCTGCTCATTAATATTATTTTAGCTCTGTGCAAACGTGCCATTAATATTAATGACAGGTGTAATGACAGTGACAGGCCTCCCGCCTTCCTCATACAGCTGGAATCGTCTCGCTGTCGATTTGATGGGGAGTCGCTGTGCCGGAATTTTCTGTACCCCCCTCTCCTGCAAGTGAGGATGACAGCGGCAGGCCTGACTGGACGGGGAATAGGTTGAGGTCCTGGAACCCCCCCCCCCCCCCCCCCCCCCCCCCCTGCCGTAGTCATCATCTGGCCAATGGCAGCGAAGNCCCCCCCCCCTCCACTGCCGTAGTCATCATCTGGCCAATGGCAGCGAAGGTGTCAAAGAGGCCTTCACATGACTCATGGCCGATCTGCACCATTAGGCCACCAGCGCAAAGCCGCTCTTGTCCGCAGTTCAGGGCGTCCCGCTGTGAGACAGGACGTAGAGGGGGGTGGACAGTCTCATTAGCGACGGGTGGGTAGGGGGCACTGAATGCCTCAGCGACGCAGAGCCCAAGAGCCAAAAGAGCAGCGACTGGGCCGGATCTCTCTGGAATGACGGCAGGGGCAGCACCGGATGACAATAACGATACAGATACGATAAAGATACGATACGTAACACAGTCGACTCATGATGGGTTTCAGCACGTCGAGAGCTCCAGCGTACAGGCGGCTGTCATATTTTAATTAGGGCTATTAAAAACATGATATGGTCTTTTTTCATGCTTGCAAAGTTTCAGGGATCTCGTGACTCAGCCCTCCATTCTGCTGCCTTCCTATCGAGAAAGACATCACGCGTGTCCGATAACACGCTACTGGTGCTCATGATGATGTTTGGTGGGGTGATGCCTGCATGCATTCCCACCCCTTCTGGGTGTCATTGTGTTTGACGTTTGGCTAAATAACCTGCCGTCTCGCCGATGTCACACTCTGCTGAGCACAGCGACGCACGCTGTCTGGAAAATGTCTGGATTCATTAAAGGGGAAAAAAAAAAACCCTTTCTCTCTGCAAGGATATAGCAGGGATCCAAAAACAGGATCCATTTCCCAGCAAGGATCTGGGGGCATTCCGAAACTGGGACCCATTTCCAGCATGGATGTGGGAGCATTCCAAAAACAGGATCCATTTCCCAACAGTGATATGGGAGTATTCAAAAATGGGATCCATTTCCAGTATGAATCTGGGAGCATTCCAAAAACAGGATCCATTTCCCAACAGTGATATGGGAGTGTACAAAAATGGGATCCATTTCCCATTTTATGTTTCAAAGCATCACAAAAACAGGGCCTGCTTCCCAGCATGGCCCGCGCCATCACCTTGGATTGCTATGAGATGTTACAGGGAAGTGTGATGACTTCACGCACCATTACAGCCATGCTAGACCTCGTGGCGACCCTCCTCAGCGAACATACTAATAAACAAGCAAACCGCTCAGCATCTCCTGGAAGCGCCTTAGCTCCCTGCATTTCACAGACTCTTCACAATATTTTTAAACATGCAAATGTTAAAAGGCAGTGCAGCTGAAAACACTCCATTCAAAAGACTCCTTCATTTACTGTGGAGTTACGCTCTGCTGTGGCCTCACCTGTTACCAGGGTAATTTAATTAGAGGAGCGAGCTTTCAGCAGGACTTTAAATAGAGCTCTGTTTGTGAGGCAAAGAGATGCAGTTTGTTTGTAAAAATTTGTAAAAAAGGGTCATTTACCATTTTGTTTCAAAAATAAAACTAAATGTAGGAAGAACTCTCAGTCCCCATGTCCCCAAAACCCTGTCCCCACATACCTGACACCTTGTCCCCATGTCCCCAACATTCTGTCCCTATGTCCCTGTCCCCACATCCCCAACACCTTCTCCATCGTCATATCCGTGACACTCAAGCCCTCCCATCGTAACGAAATTGTTAATGCTTGTGCTCATTATCTCATTATCCCATATCTGTCTTGAAGCATGACGCGATTTGCCGTGCTGCAGGGTCAGCGTGGGAGTATGGATTTTCCGCTGGCTGACCGCAGAGGATGTGCTGGATGCTGATGAGGTACTGGCTCCCCGTGCTCTGGGCCCCGTATCCTGACACGATCTGATCGACATCGTTACTACTCCGCTCCTCGGCGATCAGAAACGTTTGACGTGCTGATGGTCACGTTATACGGAAGGGCTCAGGCATCGTTCACCGCGGGATAAGTGGAGCACCAGCATGAACGCTCCGCTCCTAATGGCAGCCATTGAGACTCTGGATAAAGCCGTCAAAATGAATCGACCAAATGGGCATTACACGATCGATGGCAAACGCGGGGCTACGCTAACACGTGTGGCACACTGGGGCCGTCCCCAGCGTACAGAAGCAGCCCGAATTCCCCCTTAAAGGGAAATGAATCTCTCATGGCTGCAGATGATCGGGGGCATTATAAAGGCATAACAGTAGATAAGGAGACATGCAGGGAGCCGTTTCTGGGTGCTGACGGTGGGGGGGTGACGGGGGTGAAGGTAAGCAGTTGTTTTTTTCTCTCCTGCCTCACTGAGAGAGAACGATACATATACCCTCATATACACACACCAGTGGACACTGGGGGGTAAAAAGCCCCCCCTCTCCCACATGAGGCTTTTGGTGACACATCCGTAGCCGATCTGTATTCCTGGCCGCTCACTTAATAATGTGAATAGTTAATGGATTTGATGGGGATGGGATTAGCCCCGTTACCGCACGCAACCTCCTGGCAGGCGGCCGCAGATGGCGGGCGGGGGGGTTGTGTGGGGGGTGATATTACCCAGAGCTGTGAGGCCAGGGGATTAGAAATAACTGAAATCTCATTTGTAAATTTTTCCCCTTGGCAGGACTAAGCCGTGCCCCGCACCCCCACTCGCCCCCACGCATTCCGCATTTATCTCCACCTCCATGGCGAGCCAAACCCAGGTTGTGCTGGGCACTCCGGGCCGACAAAAAGAACCCAATAACAACAGTGTGAGCCCCGGTGTGAACCACGTTCAGGAACCACGGCGATGAGCGGAGGGGCGGAGACTGTGGACGCCTCGCCTCTCAAAACTGGGGCTTGGCTCTTACCTTCCACGCACGCCGGCCGGGCTCTCGTGGTGCCGGCAATCTGTCCCTTCCGGCACGCGCACCTCGCTGTCTGCCGTGCGACGGTCCTCCGTGGTTGGCTACTGTCCCGGTCCAGAGTGACGATCTCGCATGTCCCCGCTGCCAGCTGACCTGAGGGCACACAGACGGCGGTGGGACGTGACATCACAGGAGGGAGGGGGGGACAGGCAGGGGGCAGGCTCGCAGCACGCTGAAAGAGGCCCCCTCAATGGGAGAAAATCAGGATCGATATGAAAGGAGAGATTCTAGGAGTGTTAATCCTCTTCCTGTGACACCGTGGCTCTCGGCATTAAGACGGCCAGTGGGAACAGATAGGACCGCTCGCCAGGACGGACTCTGCTGCAGCACTGGCATCCCGCTAGTGCATCTAATTAACAAACGGCTGACCGTTTACACAGAGCTGGCGCTCTTTGGGATATGAATGGATGCCAAGGAGATCCAGACCGGAAGAGCGGGGAAAACAGTCCAAGGAACACCACACAATGCTCAGGTTACGTTTCAAGAACGTCACACACAGATTGCATCCTGCACGGACAGGCCCCAGCATCCCAGCCCCCACCCTATAAAACACAGAGAGGAGCTGAGCAATCCCACAATGGAATGCTCCATATATTTTTGTTTACCCAGAATCTCCTCAATTCTGAGTGGATGCAAAAAAGGTGCATGGATTTCATGTTGGAGTTTATGAGGCAGGATCGCACACAAGACCACTCCACTGCATCACCTATTCAGTGAGCGGTGAAACTGCAGTCGTGTGGGTTTCAAAACAAAAATGGACAAATATTCCATAAAAAAAAAGCATCCCAGGTCTCTGGCATGGAACTTGTAGGACAAGGTGTTACACCATCGGGGGCCACATGCAACTATGAGAAAAGATGCCCCCACCCCCCCCTTTTTCAGAAAATGACCTCTGTATAAAATCAAGAGCAAAAATTCCAAGCAAGTATCTAAAGTAGCTTCAGGCTGGACTAGAAGCTGCCCTGAGGAGCAGGAGCCCGTGAGGACATTGAGCACATAGCAAGAAGAAGAAAGAGGAACAGAGGGAGGGAGAGAGGGAGAAAGTGAGGGGGAGAGAGAGAGGGCTACAAACAGAAACATGCAAATGTCCAATCATAAAAAGACTGTCCCATTTAATGCAGCACTTCTTTAACGGAAAGTATGGGCCCAACTCTGGGCTTCAGAAGGCACATAATAATCCTGCAACGCCTCCCTGAAAGAGCAACATAAACAGCAGCCATGACATGCGGTAATGAGGACTCAGGCCTCGTTATAACAGCATGGTTTTAATGAAAGGGGCGTCAGACACAAACAGATGGAGAAGTTTCAGTTTCCAGGGGCAGCTTCTTCATTCTCGCCTCCAGCACGGCAGAGACACACCGAACCGAACACCACGCCTCAACACTGTAAATAGACTGAGGACCATCAAGTTAAACTCAACCTTGCATTTCGAATCAAACAAAATTAAAGGGGTCGTTGAAATTAGCATCCTTCCACGAGACATGGATTTCTTCAAAACCAGAACCCGTTTTTGGACCAGCATGTCTTACAGCAACCTGTGTCAGAACCCCTGTGATGGAGCCAATTTGCTCAACCACTCAGCTGGCCAGAGTCTCACCCCCTCCCTCCCTGTTTGGGGGACACCGACATGACTGGAACATTCTTTCACAAGATGTGGAATTATCCGCAGATGAGCATTTCTACACGTTTCTAGTGGGCCATTTCCTGTGGGCTCACCGTGGCCGATTTAAAACCAGGAAAATGAAGGCATCCACGACATTTCCTGAAGACCAGCCACGCTAATTGCCAGTCTACGTCCGGTCATGGGGCACTGACTGTTCCGTTTGAGGCGCATACAGAAACGTAGGAGCGATGCGCATGCCGCAGATTATCTTAGCGACACAGAGGGCTGCAGCTGTGGGAAGACCTGGTGCTTCGGGATGCTGTGCATTTCCCAGGATCTCATCTGCCTTATGGAAGCTTTACCCACATGAGTCACATGACCCCAAGTAATAAAAGAGTTATTGTTCTACATTACAGAAAATCCTTATTTAAAGCTTCCCTCCAACAAACAGAGACAAGCAGCAGGAAAGAGAGGACGGGGAGGACGTTATTTGGGGTAGCAAACCCAGTGGGAGGGATAAACAGGCTTTGGGTTTAGGAAATGAGTTGGGGCCGGTTTAGTCTGAGGCTTACTGGAGATGTGGCATGGACCAGGAGACCGGAACTGGCAAAGGAGCCAGACCTGAGGCGGACAGGGTCGCAGAGGAGCCGTTTGCACATCACCATCACTAACTGGCAGGAACATCTGGCCAGTCGCGCCCCACCCAGAGGTTCCTTAACGGGGACTCGACACACAATCTGTTCCTGGTCATCAGCCTACAAAGACATTTCAATCAAACTGGCGCCGGTCCAAACTGCCCTCTCGTGTTTTGTGGGTACACACTGCACCCCCACTGCAGACATTCACTGGCAGAGGGGAAATGGCCATCACTGGCTTACTGCCTCGGAGACGTGGGAGGGACCTCCCGCCGTGATCGGGAACGTGATCGGAACCACCACCCCTCCCACCCAGAGTCACTGAGTCATCGCTCAGCTTGATAATGCAAAAACACGTCTGTCTGCTCACTGTCACAACAGATCCCAAGCATACAGACCTGCCAGCCTACGGAGGAGAAAACAATACAGAGATAGACGTCCCCCTCGTACCAGCACACTGAGCCAGGGGGCACCAGTACCTCCTGGCCTGTGGGTAAAACATCCCTGATGTCGCCCCCTTCAGTAGGGACTTGCCTGCTGTTGGCAGAGGCTCTCATGTGCCTCCTGGCCTGCAGGTTAGACATCCCCATCATGGCCTCCTTCGGTAGGGAATCGGCCACTCTTAGTGGACACTCCCACGTACTACCAAGCCTGTGGGTAAAATGTCCCCAACGTCGCCTCCTCCGGTGGGGACTCAGCCACTATTATTGGTGGATGTTCCTATGCACCATGGGCCCTCTGTACGCTGACTGCTTGAGACTGCCGTGGCCTGAGGGGGTATTCATCGGAGCTGCAGAGGAATATTCTGGAGCCTGCTTCTGCCTGCTTTCATCAGCAGCAGTATAACTAATTTCTTCCGAGCTGATTTAACCCCCTTTTCTCTGAATGTTTAACATTATTGCAGTGTTCAATCTAGAGCGGCGTAATCACGCCGTGTTATGGAATAACATCGGCTCATCATATCCCGGATGGAATGTGGATGCTCCAGGCTGGTTGCTGCCTCCACCGGGAGACACATTCAACCATGTCTCCAAGGGAGTTGCTGTTTTGGGCGACGGGGCTACACCCTGTTTATCATGCACCCACAATTCCCAGAATGCACCACTCTGCCCATTGGTCAGACATGGGCTTTGAATGCCAGCTGCCTTCGCCTGACGGAGTCTAGTTAACCTCCACCCTTGCCTACTCACGTGCGAGGATGGTCACTGCTGGATGCTCACCCGGGGGGATTTGGGGGGGGGGAAGTCCATGAGGCCATTCATGGGGGTGTCATCAGCATGCAGGCAGCACGCCCCCCCAGATCACAGTGACTGAATGCAGTGCCCCCCCGCCCTGCTTTCATCTCAGCTTCGCAACAGAGAGCCCTACACCTCCCCTTCCGTAAAACTGCCCCACCTCCAAAACGTTTTGTTCTAAGCTGAATTCCGGACCCATCCGGGAAGCAGACGGTGGGGTGGCGTGGGGGGGCAGGCCACTGAGAGGAAGAAACAAAACGTCACACTTAATGGCTGGTTACAATTTTAACATCGAGCCATGTGACTCTTCCCAGCCATCAGGCTCGTTCCCAACATGAAGGGCTCTCCATTTCAGTCATGTCGACAAGACAGGAAAAAACACAGAGCTGTGCATTGGCTTCTTTATCAGAGCGCATCAGGGCTCAGCAAGACTAAAATAATCCCTTAATGCTTCCCTGAAAGAAACACAAAGCAGCGGTCATGATACGCAATAGCAAGGATTCTGACCTCATTTTAATGACGCAGTTTTAATGACGGGCAGCGCATCAGACACGAACAAACAGACGGGTGGTGAGGTTTGGGATTCGTACTCCCCACTGATGTGGCTCAGAGCCTGGCTCCAGTGAACAGAATGCCATAATCGCTTTGTTTTTATTTTCTTTCATCTGGTAATCTTGATGTGGGAGACGTGGATGGATTTTCGAAAGACAAAGCCTTTGAGAACGTCACCTGCATGGGGAAAAGCTGCGAAGTGGTCACTGCTGAGGGACTGGATCTAAAAAGGACTGAATTTCCACGCAAACTGGTGAAGCTTGACTGGGGCAGCAGCAACAAACACGAGGGCCTTTAAGAGTCACTTCTGGGGAACCAGGCCACTTATTGTGAAGGCAGGAGGTGGACATGATGGACATGGTGAATGCGTTCAAGAGAACTTTACATGGGACTGAAGATGGGTATTTATTCAAAAGGGGGATTAGAGATGAATAGGTTCCCCCTTGTCATCATTATCACCATTTCAGAAGATACAAGATCTCAGAAGGATTAATAAGTGGTTTGTCATGAGCATGTTGAAATGGTAGGTTTGTCTGTTGCAGCAGGTCATTCCTGTGATTCTCTATCACCTAGCTGTATCCCAGTTGGCCGCACGAATACTGTAACATGCTACAAACCTCCACAGCCATCTTCACAACCCATCTGCTGACGTAGGCCTTTCACCCTGAAGCTGCAGCCTGCTTAGCATGGTTTCCCTGCAGTTAAATGAATTCATCTGACAGGCTGAAGGACACGGACATGCCCTCCGGGGTGTACCCCTGTGGTGTGCCCTGAGCAGACCCTCCCTCCCCACAACCCTGTACCAGAAAAGCCGTTCGAAAACAGATAGCTGGATGGACGGATCAAGAATAAGTGAAAGCGTGCTTTACAGATCCCAGACAGAGCTGTGTTGAGGTCTATAAACACCAGTCCTTTTAAAGATGCCAGACCTAGCTGAACTGAGGTCTTTAAACACCAGCCCTGTTGCAGATCCCAGACTGATCCCCTTTGAGGTCTATAAACACCAGCACTGTTACGGATCTCAGACTGACCCCTGTTGAGGTCTATAAACACCAGGCCTGTTACGGA